CGTACTCTATCGGCGCGTATTCAGGTAATTAGCTTCGGAATTTACAATACACACTAACAAGTGGAAATACTGATTGTTACCATAAACTGTATAAAATTTTATTACATAAAAATAAAAGTATAGGTGTTATACTGGGAATAAATGCAAGTTTTGATTGAGTTTTGTTGTCGTTGTGTGCAAGCATGATTTATATTTTCACATTTCACATCTCTATAATTGATAGCGTCGCGATGCATAGTTGTTGCCTTTCGGGGCTTGGCGCGCGGCCCAACCATCATTACCAATTTCATTATTAAACACGTTTCGTTTCATCAATATTTTATCAGTACTTTTGTTACGTATACCAAAAATTGTCATTTCACAAACATAAATCCTCTTTTTGCAGCAAGTCAAAATGTTACGTTATGACATCGTTGCAATTGTGTAACATTTTTAGTAAACAAAAAGGTAAAAATTTGATAATCGTGGATAGAAAAGAAGAAATTTAATAGGAATGTAAATTGTGTATTTGTGGATCGTTCACAACGAGGTGGACGATAAAATTGGTCATAATGTAACATTGGCCCATAACTATCGCCCGGAATCGAAGTATCAAAATCGCTTGCGAAGTTTTCCGCACCGGGCAACGCGCTAACGTCGAACATTTCGACTTCCATTGCCGCCTATCTTTCTTCCCGTCCTCACCGCCTCCGGACCGTCGCTACCGCCTTCCACAAAACAAACGTTTCTAGAGCGGCGTTCCGCCGCGGCGAGAAAAAATAAATATGAATTGTTGCCACTTTTGCGTTGTACTTTTTTTTCCGGTTTTAACAGCCACTTTGCCATAATGGAGGCGGCTATCAATTTGACGTTCTTTAGCGCTAACGACCGCGCGTCGAGCACCCTTACAACCGTTTCTTGCGTAGGTTTTCTACCAAGGGGGTTTGGATGGGTGTAGAACGGAAACTTCAGTCAATTAGCCATGTATAATTCATTAACTGGAGAAACTATCGCTCTTCCTCCCTGGTAACGATGCTTACGCGCGGGGGATAATTGAGTGCACACTTTTCACGCGTTACAGCAATGAATAAAGGATTTTCTACATCGTACTAAATTAAGCTCGGAATAGTAATAACAACTACGTGCGATTTTTAAACGTATAACTCTATTAACATCCCCATTTCCAGTTCGAATGCCAATTTTGCTAGGTCATCAAAAAACTTGCGGAATATAGAATACAAAAAAAGGCGCATAAATGGAGCATGAAAAATACGGCAATTTTTTGTTTTCCACCTGGTTCTCTCGGCGAACAGGCTTTTCCGGCTGCACCTTTTGCCGCCTCTGGTTCGACTAATACTCTCATTGGAAATCCACTCGATGGCACGTTTACCGGGGTTAGCAGGCGCTGTGCGCCGGCTGATGGCAATCGGTCGCTATAAGTATCGCGCGAATGTTGATTCAAGTTGATTCTATTACCGCTCCACCATATGATGCCCCGCTCGGGCAAACGTCGCACAGCCTCCGAAAAATTTCCCATTTCCGCGCAAATTAATCCGCTCAATTTTTTATCCGGCCGAGCGGCGGAGAGCTTTCCGCAACCGGCGAGAGAAATGCGCGTTGAAACGCTTTATACATAATGCACACATTGCTCTGAAAATCTTTTCGTATTCGCACGCGCGTGTTTTTTGAAAATTGCGCAACGTTTTACCGGGATGTACCATTGTTAACCGATTTAGCATTGCAAAAACCACAAAAGATTAGTTATTTTTACATATTTGTCAATTTTACAAAACAAGATTTATTATGTTATAATACTTTTATACTTTTTTGTAATTAACATAAAACGGTGCATGTTTCAGAACATTATTTTTATCCTTATAATTTAACGCATTTACGAGTAATGCGACCTCGCATTTTCATATCATAAACTTTATTAATTATGCATTTCAGGCATTCATTTAGTTGTCCTGCATGATTCTGTATTTTAAAAGCCACGGAAATTAATTATGGCTTCCGCTCCGCATAAAAATTTGATCGCAAGGAAAATAAAGTAAAAGCTTGGCGCGCGCTTACAATGCGAAAAACCATTTCATTTCAATATCTAAAGCAATTACTATAAAGTTCTACGAAAGCCGCCGGCCGGGTGGCGCTTCCCCGTTGCAGCCGCCCCACTTCTACCATTGCGGTCCGGGCGTCTGGCTTTATTAATTAATGAGTGGAATTCATGTCGTGTACAACACTTTATGACTTGCTAATTGCTACAACGTGCTACTTATCCGCAATATACAACTTTACGTGGTTTTAATACACTTTGGATTTCGGTCGACTTGGTGTACTCTTCCGCGAAGCAATCGTTGCCGTCGTCGCATTAAACTCTTTCATATCAACTTGTTCGCTTCGCGGTTCTGCGCAGCTTAAAAACTCGAAGACGACCGCAAAACGTTTTCACACTCAATAGAATTTCAATGTCGTCCGCTTTTTATATGGTGATAATGGGCAAAATTAAATTTTAGGCCTCTGGCAGATTAATTAATCGTCGCGTTTTTATTTCGCCGTTGAATAATTAAGATCGACGTGATGAAAATATGCGCGACGTGATAAAATTTAATATTCTGTCGAAATGAATTTTTTTATTGGCAGACATGAAAAGCTGGGAATGTAAATTTGTGCACTGTTTTATTTTAGCTCAACCGGGAAAATGTGTAGTGGCACTTAAAATTTTAGCAGTCATTCAATTATTAATGACATATTCTATGCGAAAGTTACTACTGCTTTAAATATAGATAACCGAAGGACTATATAAGGATCGGGGAAATAGAAACCGCTATCGACCCCTAGCGACTAAGGGTAGAAATTACAGGCAGTTTGTTTTCCAGGATTCCTTTCAGGAACAGGAGAAGAGAAATATTGATTTTCTTTACACAACTTACAGATCTCTGTTTTTGAACAGTAACCCTTAATATTTATTTCATTATAAATAAGCTTCTTTATTTTAATACATTTTATTGGCTGTTTGTCATACAATAAATTATTTTCTTACCTTAAGTAGCTCTCTGCCAATCGGCAAAACCGGATTCTTCTTTTTTGACGCCCACAATGCGCGAACTCTATGTGTGACAAGAACATGAACACCGCTGGGAATATTCTGTTCTGTTCTGACCGAGTTTTGCAGAACTTATACTCAGGAGCAATAAATATTTGTTAATTGACTTTCCAACTACCCAAGCTACGTAGTTTAACACCTACGCCATTTAAAATTAATTACAATTATGCAGACTTAAAATCACGTAGATGTTATCATGACCTAATTTTGTTCAATAGGAATTGTATATGACTCAATTTGATATTAACATTTTAATTTTAATTAACTTGGTGCTCTTCTAGAATAAAAATTAATTATCGCGTGGGTTCTAGATTCAATCCGTTAAAATAATTGGAAATATTGGAAATATATCTTAATAATTAGCGTATAGAATGTTGCTGTTACTTTTTTTTATTAGTCATATACTGACATTTGCGCTATTGGCTTTCACATCTACAATTTTAAAAGAATGTTTTTTTACTTCTTTTATGCCGGCGTGCCGTATCCGGTGACAGGCCATTAGAGAAGAAAGTATTAAACCAACTTTGCATATAGTCTGTACGCTGAATACTAAAGACCGGATCAATTTACATCATAAAAGCTCATTTTTTCCATCTACGTAAAAGTTCGCATTCATTTCATTATTCCCATATATTTTTGTAACTCTTTCATGCACAATAGGGTTTTAATTAAATGTTATCCGATGTTCGTTTTGCGCTAGCCAACACAAAATGAAAATGTTGCGGTTTTTTCGCAGGCTGTGTTACTTTTGTGTCTAAAGTTGGTGAAAACATGCCAAGATTCATAAAATTTTATTTTATCGCTGCAGTACATTCGTATTTAGACTAGAGTATTTGCATTTTTTAATTGTTTATGTAAATGCAAGCTCGAGTGCGTTTCCGCCACATATCTTATTTAATTAATCACAAAAGTCATGGAAAAAGCGTGGCTACGATGCTTCTCGATCTTTGTATGTCTAGTATTTGTGTGGTTTGGGGTTGTTTCGCGGTCGAGTTAAATGAAAGGCGAGCCAAATCGAATTATGTCGCTCCCCTCGACGTAAATGTGACTGCGGATACTTGATGGCACATTGTCTGCCCAAGTCTTCGAAAGAGGCCAACGCTTAGCAAGTGTTGCAATCGTGCGAAGAGGCGCTAGTAAAGTAAATAAGAGCCGAGAACGTGGTAAGATGCACTCTGTATATCTGGCTCAGTGTGGTGAAGTGAAACGACGTAGGCATTGGAATGGGTTGTTATAACATTGGGGGGTTATTTTAGTAAAATGCGGTTCGGCAAGGAAACCAAAGAAAAACGAAATAAATTCAATTTATATCGGGTTAACCGCCACGTATATTCGTTGTTTTCTTACAATTTTCTACTCGTTTGCCGGTTAGAAATTGAATTATCCTTGAACAGATAGATATATTTTGAAACCAACCGATTGATGTTAACCAGTTTGTTCAAGTTTCACCCTATTTTTTCATCCTTTTTTTGCTTTCAACCTAATTCAATATGGTTCATTGAAATGTTTTTTCACTTTCAACACGTTCACAGGAATCCTTTTGTTTTAATATTGTTATCACGCAATCCAAGCAAAAAACATGACAATTCCATTGGAATATCAAGATGACCAGACAAATTTCTCTTGAAATTTTATTACTTACGAGCAGTCCAATATTATAGTTTTTTTATTTCGCAATAAATCCACGCAGTCATTAAGAAATACTTGCTGAGCAATCCGAGAATAGGCTATTAAATCCGTCGGCGGCGTTGCAATGGACACAAAGCGAACAATGCAGGCCTTTTACGCTTTCGGCGAATAAAAGACCAACGAATGACCAATCCACTGTAGGTTTATAATTATAATAAAACTACTTTATGTCGTTTGCACTTCCTGTAAATTGATTACCTAATCGCAAATTTCGTTTCTTTAATTGCAGTATTTGTGTTCCTTTGGCGCCATCTGTAACGACCACACAACAAGAACGGATTTCATCAAACAGCAACTTCAGCGTATGAAGGTAAGTAATATTCTTTAGGCCAGATTTATTAATTTAATTTACGTGACACTCAGTTTAGTGCTGATTGGTCATGTATCTTCTCACTTACTTGACCTCGTCAACCACCGATTTAATCAAAAACACCGTCCCGTTTTCGTGGCGCCGAGCACTTCCCTCATTGTACTTACTTCTCCTTGTTCATTTCATCATTTCGTATTTTGTCTCCTTGTCTACTTCAGGATACAAGAGCGGTTCTCAGTAAAATTAATAAAGTCGTTGGGCAAATTAATTCTGGGACGCTTTATACGACTGTGGTTTCACACATTTTTCAGTCGTACTTCGTTCCAACTGTTTAAAGCACAAAATTCTCTACAATATTCTCAGGGAGAGTGGAATGTTGAAATGTTTGAGACAACCAGTGCTTTTATAATATTGCCCTACTTCTTATCACTCCCTTAACACTTAATTAAGTTTACAAACTGGCGGCGTGCGAATGCTGTTACATTAGAATGCGAAGGTGGAACGCATTGCGAGAAAATATTACGGCTATGTTGTCGTCTGCATGGATAAAGCAAGGTACTCTACTTCCTAGCATATTTGACAACGCGACGAAACAAAGAGCTCCGCGCTGTAGGCGTCCTGAATAGTGCGCAATACGAATGCGAATGCGGGAGAGAGAATGAACGCCGCATAAGTATTTCGGCGCACCCCAAGGCGATATTTTTCAGCTTAAGTGAATCGCCTTTTCTTCGAGTCTTGTTTATAGTTTTATCTTTGTGGGGTGAGCATGAACGCTGCAGATTCTAAGGAGGTAATAACGTGCCACAGCACAAGTGCGTACCACCCGCAGAACGTTCATGTGTTAGACATGTCTGATTTGTGTTCAACTGCAGTTCGAATAAAAGTGCAGTGAGGGGTTTTATTTTCGGGGGAGTTTAAAAGTATGCGTTATACGAATAACACTACGAGTAGTACGTTCCTGTTGAATTAAAGTTGAGATGTGGGGAGAGAATTGAGCAAAAAGGTTACTGTTGCTGATATTAAGAGAAAAGTTTCAATTTGAAGCTTGTGGAGTACAGGAGGGTTGAAAATACGATTTTGTGTGATACAGAATCTTTCTCAGTGCCAATGACAATTTAATGGATGTCCTAAAGTGCTAATGACAACACTGTCAGTCTGACAATAATTATCGCGATGATCATGTCATACTATGCTTTTGACATTTTTCATTATTTTGGCATTTTGTGGTAGATTTGCAATTGGCGCCGAAATCAAGAAACACGTTCAAAATTCTGTGTACCCCTATGACCTCGACCCGCCATCATACAACATTGAGTCCTGGGTCAAGCAATTGCATTTGCAGCAATGTGCGCTGGTGGAAGTCGGCGACAAATACTACGCGGTGAGAGGTTTCTGCCATCATTGCGAGAGTAGCAGCACTTATTAACAAAGCAAACTCGTTCTTGTCCTGTTTGTTGGGAAGCCGGTTTGAAATGTAGCTGTTGTAGATTTTTGTCGAAAGTCGGCCACGACGCTATGATCAGGAGAAGGGCATCAAGGAGTACTTTCTTGGCCTCTGCGATGACGATACTCTGAACAAATGGTCCTTTTGTGCCGCCAGCCTGCAGAGGAAACGTGCTGACGACTGCAATTTCTACACGAAGAATATGTACAACACACGTGTGCATCGACGTCTCTGCGATCTCACGCTTTTAGCATTGAACGCGCCCCAATGCGACTGCAGCAACGACTTATCAGACTCGAAGCTCTACAAAGTGCAAGGTGTTGTCAAATGCAAATATTAAAAACTGATGCAGCATTTTCTGATTCAAATCCAAACTATATTTTGAATCATTTTAAGGCTTTCCCACGTGTTTTAAACCTCCGCTTCCGTCGAGTTTATGCGGTGATAACAACGTATGTGGTTTGGCTGGTTGTAGTCCAAGGACAATTAACAAACGCGTTCATTCAATGAAATGTGATAGAAAATGCAACGAAAATCAACCGGTATTACATAAATTACTTTAATTCAGAACCAATAATTAGTATTTTATAGTTTTGTGAGCCGTGTGACAAAAAGTCGTCTCTACCACGTCAAATCAGATCCTTCTGGACCGATTGGAGCAATCCCTATTGCACAGACTCCAGCTGCATATCACAATTCGACGAAGCGATATGCATAAACCGTGAAACGTAATCAAACACCACAAAATCACATAAAATCTAATTCTTTAATTTATAGCGGACGCGGCGATATTGACTGCCTTGGACCAGGCACCAGTTGGTAATTAAAATCACATGGGTGCAGTACGCAAACGAATATTAAATGTGGGAATATCGTTACAGTTGTACGCCGGAGCTGCAGAACTGCAAATGTCACGTATACGAGGAGGGCGGCGCGACGAAAGTGTTCCGAACATTCTCTATTCCACAGCCGGAGATGGCTGAATACATGTCCGAGGAGGATTTTATCAACAGCATTCCTTTGCGGTATCTGAAAGAGGAGTTCCACAAGTATCCGGGTTATTCGCCACGCACCGTACGATCTAATTTTGGCCAGACATTGAAACAGACCCTGCAAAATATTTATGAAAGTTTTCCGTTTAAGTTTGGCAACATTAATCATGCACGTGAGCGTAAGGCTTTAAAGAAATTCAAAACTGCCGTTCTGAAGGCTTACCTTTGTGATAGAAAGCATCATACAACTGTCACTCCATCTGCAATAGAAGAACCAACAACTTATTTTATTTCAACTGCTGCTTCAACAAGTAGTATTGCCACTCAAGATCATACAAGTACTGCATCCACAAAAACAGATAATAATGATTATAATAATCATCACACTACAACAAGTGGCAACGCTAACGAAATTACAAAATTACATGGGGATAACACTAATATTGCGGCCACAAATGCTATTGCTAATGATTATATTCATCATGATGCTACAACTAGTGCTATTGGCAACGGAATTACCAAAGCTCATGAAGATCATGTAAATACTCCATCAGGAATATCCGATAACCTTGATTATGATCATCATGACACTTCAACCAGTGGTATTGCCAATGGAATTACAAAATCACATGATGACCATTCAAATATTGCTAACACTGGTAATTCTCATGATAAAGTCACTGTACCTGAAAAAGAAGTATCAATTCTCCATGAAGTCAATGATAATCCTCTGGATACTTTTTCATCAAAACCAATTCTTGAACCTGGTGAATGTATTCCATGCAAACGATATTTAAATAAACCAAGACCCCATGTTAATACAAATGGTATTCATCATAAATCAAGAATACACCAAAAACCATGCAAATTCGAACATAATCATTTTCTGGATTTTATGAGACGTCGAAGTAGAAAGGAGCGAGATTTAATTAGAGCGCGTAGACTTCGCGCATTATTGAACCATGTTCCGATCTATTCGAAAGTAAAATCTAAATTAAAACCATTTCATACTAGATCTGCACTAAAGCATAACACACCACTAAAGAAGATTTTCAATAATAAAAATTTAGTTCAGTATAATCCAAAACCGCCAGAGGATGAAGAGAAAGATCCGTTGGATATGGACCAAGATGACCCAGATATTTTTATTAAAGGTATAGACAACAAAACACTGGATACTAAAAGATCGGCAAACATGGAAAGCACACTAAAGAAGAAACTATCATTTGACCTTATTTTTGATGACACCAAAATACCGCATGATGATTATTCACGAGATCCTCCTGGAGATTATTACAGGATTCCTGTTAAACGGCATTACGCTAACAATAAAAAAAATACTTTTAAGATAGGACCCCGTCGGTATATCCACTTTAAAAAATATAAAGAAACCGAAGACATGGACCCACATCTCGAAAAACATTTTTATGCACGACCACGAACTAATATTAGACCTAGTGAACCCATTCCTCAATTCGGTGATGTTGTTACTAAAGTTACAACTGAAAGTACAACTACAATAAGGAAACAAACGTTGCATGCCGAAATGGATGATGAAGACTTCATTACCGACGAAAACGGTCTTTTGTGGTCTGAGAAAAAAGATGACGATAACAAAGTAAAGGAATCATCAGCAGAAGCATTCTTATATAATTTTAATGACATAGAAAAATTCCATTTGAAACGAGAAGAAGACAAAATGGAACCAGCAATCACCTTAATGAAATTTTATTCAACAAATGCAGAAGATTCCAATTTAGAAGACACACAATATCTTGGAACAACAGTTGTCACAGGTAAGTAATATATATTTGCAACATTTTTTGAGTATTTAAAGTCTAGCTTTGTTGATAACCCAGCTGCTGATAATGGTTGCACTGATCATATACTTGAAAATGTCCACACCGTCAGGGAAGACGATAACGAGGATGCCATGGAACTAGAAGATCGTTTAGATATAGACTTAGATGGTCCAAATTCTGATGAAATCATCTCAAGGAAAAAAATAGTTAATGATTTCGTAAATGTGGAAAACTCTAACAAAAATCACTTGAATTGTTTATGTAAGTCCAAATTAAAGAAAATGCAATTTAAATAAATCTTAATATTTCTAGCTTTATTGGAAACAAAAAGTAAAAATCCACGATATATCAACCACAACTATTTTGAAGATGAAGATGAACGTTTGCGGTTGATACAAACACCAAATTCAATTGACATGCAAAATAAACTACCTGATGTATTTGAGGATGAAGATCTTTCAAAACCCGTAACAGAGAAGAAAACTGTGCCTAATACCTCTACTGAATGTGAAGTTGAACCTGTTAATACTGAAGATCAGTTGGAGGAGACGCCAGCCAAGCGTAACAATATTTTGAAGGCTAAAAAAATGCCCAAGGAGACAAGCTCAAATTAAAGTGTGGATGTTTCAGTACGTCCGGATATGCCTCGTAAACGATTTGCTAAGGTCACATCCGAAGAGATTTCGGACGACGATGGAGACACAGAATACGATGACGATGACGACGTGGCGTTGGAGTACGACGAAGATGAAAAAGAGGAAAAAGTAACCACGACAGAGCGAACACTGGAACGTGGCGAGGACAAAAGCGTGAATGTCAAAGTGGAAAGCGAGCAGGTTGATGCAATGAGCAGGAGTGAAGCGAATTCTTCCTCAGACAATTCGAAGGATGAAATGTCAGGAAAGAGCAACTCGAATAGTTTTATTTTCAATAATGTATACTTAGATTTATTAGGTTTTATATTCGTATTATTATACTAGTTTATACTCGTAAATAAGTGTACACAAGTTTATACAATGTGTGCGGGAAGTGGCATTGTGTTCGCATTACGTCATTTGCTGTGTAGAGGGTAAACAGCCCAGCGCTCTCGAGGTTGAAAGGAAAGTTAAAGTTTCGATGGGTTTTGGTCTTGTCGGTTGAGGTTCTCTACGTGCAGATGCGCGCGGGATCCCTTCGGTCCTGCGTTCGTCGTAAAGCGATGTTGTGTGTACCCTCCGGAAACGTCAATGTTCGTCGCCGGCGTGTTTCCTACCGATATATTTGAGGAAGATAAATTTCACGTCATTGCGATTTTGTGACATTTAAGATTCATAAATGGTTACTGGGTGATTAAAACAAAATCCCTTTTTTTATATACTCGTAAAACACCCTGTAGATTCCATCTAGAAAGAAAGTTTGAGTTTATAAATATCAACATCTTGGTTGTATATCATAGTTATCAATAGGAAAGACAAGACGTCGACTTGACTACTTCCAATTTGTTTCTTAAGACTTTGATGAACGCGCCTCGGCACGATGTCTTTTCATTTTGATTTTAATACCGGCGAAAAGGCACCCTTCGGATTGTGGCTGAAGTTGTCGATGTGAGTACGACCATCCAGAGTCATTCGAATCATCCGTGCACAACTATGAACGTGAGCGACAAGTACATGCGTCAATATTAACACAAGCTACCCGCAAAACGCAAAACTTTGGCGGAGGAGCGGCGAAGCCGCTTTTCATTCATCGCAAATATTAAACGAGCCACGCACACAACCGCCGGTGGGATCGCCAGACAGACGGAAGCCCTACGACTGATTTCAGGGATGACAATATATCCAACGTCTAACGAACGTCTACAACGACTCTTGCCAATTGCCAGTAGGGGGTGGTTGTTGCGCACTGAATGAACTTTCCATTCTGATACTTCTTGTACTTCTTGCACAGCGACGGTGACACTAATGCGAATTTCGTGTTCCGTATGTATTTTAATTTTTCATGGGTTCAAAGTTGTGCAGTTCTCAGCCGATTACAATCAAACAGAAACAAACTACTTTTAGCAAGTTCTTTGTTATTTGATTGATTTGAGAATTTCATGTTTTTCATGTTAATCAATTATTATTTTTGGTGTAGAATAACTGACCAGCGCAAGAAAAAGAAAATATAGGTCACATTTGATTTTTGTGGTCAAGATTTTCGCATTGTTGAAATCTAAACAAAAATATTATTGTTTTCGCAAAATTATAATGTTGTTCGTTTTCTGGTCAGTTCCTTAGCGTTGTTGATTTATGAAACAGAGCAAGAAGTAATTTTATTGTCGAAAATGTTTTGTATGCAGGCAACAAACGTATACATAACACGTCGCCACATACGAATTTATTTATGCGAACGTGGGAACTGTGGCAAGATGCTGGGTAACGTTCAATTCTTGCCGAAGAACTTCCGCATAGATGCAAATTTTATGATTATCGAATTTCACTTTTCCACTTGCTTCTCGTTTCCTTTGCGATATTTTATTCCGGCTTCAACGTCTACGTTTTTATCGTGAAGCTATTTGTTATTTCCCGCACGTGACATAAACTCATTGGTAATATGAAAGTTTAAATGGCGCATAGTGCTTTATATCGAGTTACGCGTTAGCGGATCAAAGCATATTGAATGTTCAGAAATTGTTTAAAATCGAAGTTGAGAGTTGATGTATGTGCAACAATGTGCGAGGCGGGTTTTAATTAAGTCAAGCCGGACGCTTTACTGTCGTCACCAACTTGTGTACGAATATAGGAATGATTGGACGCTTACTGCGCATGGTAGGAATGGCACGTGTTCCGGCGTCGCGACGCTCGCACTCGACGTCAGTTCAACGCCGCACTCTGCTTCGTCAGCACGCACTGCGCCACAGAGATAAATTCCGTGTTGCGTAGTTTACGTACGATTCAAAACAGAAGCCAGGTATGTTTACAAAATCTTTGTTTATTTACAAGTTTATGGCATTCCCACGGATGAAAATCTAGTTTACGTTTGTAATAATTAAAGTTTGTATTTAAGTTTAAACTTATTTTGTTCGTGCTGAAGATTTAGTTTTGGAGTTTAATTGAATACAACTTTCAAGGTTGAGTAAAGTTTCATTATTTTCAAAGTGATTTAGCCTGACCTAAACTTACAGGACGTGCCTAATGTTTGTATGTGCTTTATATTTTCGGTGTTACGTATTATCCTAGCTCACGCGCGAATGTGTAAGCACATTAAGTCGTAATTTACTCCAGTTCGTTGCGCGTCTCTGCGGGCCGTGGCATCCACGAAATGTGCGCCAGCAAATTCACGTATTCCGCGTATGATTTACAACCGCACGCAGTGGGTACAATTATTAAATAGCCGCAGCTCGAGCGTGAAAAAAATACACACGAAGACACCGCGGGAGCGAACCGATTTTGGCTTGTATTAAAATTTATTATCCTGAAAATGTAGCGCGCACTAAAATGTTCGCACAAACAAAATTAAATAAAACCAAACACAAGCAAAATTTTAATCTTATCTTTCACTCGGAAATATGAACGCAGATAAAATGTATAATTTCAATGTGCGTTGGTGTCTCATAAACTTGACGCTTGTCATTTTCCCTCGCTGATTGTTGGAGTGCTGAGAGTCGGCGTAGCTCGTCGTTAATTACGCGCAAAATTCAATTCCCCTGGGGCCTAGAGACGTTTGCACCTTGCTTTTTCCGATGCCGACGCTGCACAGACGCTGCTCACAAACAAGCCCGGAAAATGTTTACCTACAAGAATGGAACAATCCTGGTAACGATACAAGGCGGAAGCAAATCAGTTGTCGATTGATCAACCTATATTCGCTGAATTTCATTACAGAAATAATGCAGGTACTTGTTTTGTATATTTCTGCGCGCAAGCAAAAAGATCGCCTGCAGAAATTTTAATTAAATTTTGTTTTATTAGCAAAGTTCTACGGAAGGATTCAATTATTTTCGATTAATTCCGCTACCTGACAGCGGATGCAAAGTGTTTTTCGCTACTCGTGCTTAATCCTCGCTTATTGCCTAGCAATTTGATTGATATTTAATTATTTCCGCGTTGAGAGCAAAAAGATGCAAAAATTTTGGCAGGGCGCAAATTGTTCATTTCATAAATATCAAAGTTTGATGTTCATTGGCCGCTGGGAAAGCGCTGGAAAAGTTTGCAAGTTTTCCGAATGTGCTTTCAGTATTAAACGAGCGCGTCCGCGCGCTTCGGAGTTCATAATTTAAAGTTCTAATCGGCATTTCATGTTCCGTGTTAGACGCTCGTTGTTTGCCGCGCGTGTACAAAACTACCCGGCTGATTTCATCAGGAAAAATTTTATACGCGTTTTTTTCCTGCTTCTTTATGCTGAGTTGTGATCAGTGTTTGTGCATTGTTTGTAGGATTGTAGGCAGCCGGAATTAAAAAGTTAAATAAAGCGCGTCAATAAATTTATTTCCTTATTGCAGTTGCGCGTGCAAAGCTCACTTTAGTGATGTTTATCAAACTAGTTAGGGGAATAATGTTATATCAAACATTTTTACCATGGAATGTAAATAGAATAATAGAAAATGATCTAATTAAAACCCAAATAAAATGGTCATATCATCAAAATTAACACTCCAAACAAATATTGAATTTGCGCCACTTATTAAGTGAAGCAAATTTATCCAATTAACTTGCATCATCCCCGGCCGACCGCAGTCATGATCGTCCGCCCGACCGCCCCGATGATGGCAAACTTTTCTAGTTGAACTTGTTAAGTAGTCTGCGCGCTGCAGCCGACGTGCACTAATTATAATTCCGAGGCCGCTGTAATAATTATAAGATTTAGCGAGGCGTGCAGTGACTTGGGCGCAACTGTTTTAAGTGTTTTGCGGCGCACACAGGCCGACAGGATTGCACGGACGGAGTCCTGACGACGTGCCAGCAACCGCAAGCAGGTTGGAAATGACGGAAGACAACTTGTCGAAAACTAACTTGATATTTTCTTCGGAAAAATCAATTTACCCAAAATTGAATTTTGTAATAGTTGGCCGCTAGTGAAATTAGTTAACGCTGGATATAAACATAGAAAAACTGCATGCAGAAGAAGATAATTTATCATTTATTTTCCCTGGTGGAGGCGCCGCCGATATTAATCACATTTCGCGTCGCGTTCTTTATTATGGATGAGGCGATGAAACGATGAAAACGAATGGAGCCACCGGTACGCTGAGTGCTGCAAACCTTGGAGACACGAAGAAAAACGATGGCGCAGCGAGAGCCACCACGAAAAAGAATACCCCCAGGATGTATGCTCAATAGCGCCACACCGCGAAATTTTAAGATAATCCCACCCTTGGGAATCCACGACACACTTACCCCTCCATTGTTTTGCCAATAATGTTTAGGACAAACCGGAAAACCAGCTTAACTAAAAATAAGAAAAAATAAAATATCACTAAACTAAATTATTAGACTTAAAATTTGTTTCGAGTTCAAATTACAAACGGTTATATCCTGTTTTTGCTCTTTTCCTCTCCCAATCGCAAAATAGAATCTCTTTGTAAGGGATGTAGCACTCCGCGAGTTATCTCCAAACTTCCATGCACACGAATTCTCTAATAAGCGAAAATACACACATAAACACTCACCAAACAAAAATGTTATCAATGCTTACCGAAGACTTTCCGCTACTTTCCTGCGCACGCAAAAGTTTGCCACTAATTACATTAATTATAAGTTGAGAGTTCAGACCCCGACACCCTAATTTCATGCCAATCTAATGTAGGAAACATTAATGATTCATACTTGATAATTTTCTGAAATTTTCTATTTCTTGTGAATTATATAGAAACACATCATAATGTTGTAATTATCTGAAGCTAGGGGTTTGTGGGGTGAGAAAATTAAGGGTGATGATTCATACGTCAGTGCATGCAAGGCATAACACGTGTTTACCTTGATTATGTAGCTATGAACTACGAGCTCCTCCAATTAAACTAGCTGAGCAACAAGAGGGT